TTTTGCTGGCGATGACCCCTATAGAGAAAACCTCCCCAAAAAAAAAAAAAAAAAAAGAATGAAGAATGATCATACCCATTCTACAATTGAATAAATTGTTGTGAGCATGTTTTTTTAAGAATTAGTTTGTTTGACTTTATGTATGATTTATTTAAATTTGACCAGAGAGGGACAGAGTGAGAGAGAGAGAGAAGCAAAGACACCAGGTTCAAGACTCAGACACGAGTTGGCCACGTGGGAATCCAGCGCCCTTAACTGCCACGCCACCTGCCAGCCCCGTGAGCACTTTTTTAAGTATATTATTTACTTCTTCCATGAGTGAGAGACAGACAGTGCCCCAAACAAGGTCTTGACCAAGCAATTCATCCCCAGCCTCAGCCCAAGGCCTGGGTCATGAACACGCACATGCCCAGCATACCCAGGGAAGGACACAAACTGGAAACCTTCCCATGTGGATCAGCTGGGCAGAGTGGCAGATTTTACTGCTACATGACCATCCCCGGCCCCGGGGTTAAAAAAAAAAAAACAGACATTCCAACGTATACATACGGCAATCATATTTAAATATCAGAAGAGGTACACCTGGAGAGGGAGAGCTGGGCTGAGGTGCCAGTGTGAGCAAAAGCAAGAGAGATGAACTCTTAGGGGGCTTGAGCCAGATGACTGTTCCAGGACTTCCTGCAGGGAAGAGGAGGGAGGAGTCCTTGCCATGGGTAGGTGGGACCACGAGGAGGCGACCTGAGATAGGAGGGAAGATTGTAAAGTTCTTTAAAGCTCTCAGCTGGGACCAGCTGGTTGTGTGGTGGTTAAGGTGTTGGACTCCCACATGGCTAACCACACACAGTTTAAGGCCCAGACCCAGCGGCTTGAAAGTCATGCTGGGCACATGTGCGCATGCATAAGGGATTGTGGCCATCCCCTCTAGGTGGTGACTTCTCACTTACCCTTCTCTTGTGGCAAAAACCTAAAAGATAAAAACAAAAACACTCTCTACAGTCTAGTTATGATCTTTGAATGAGGAAGGATGTTTTTGCTTTTTCCTTTTTTTCTTCTTTTTTTTAAGGAAAGAAAAAATGGGACCCTCCCATGTTGTAGTGATTAAGATGGCTGGATCTCACATGACCAATTAACTTCATGGTTCGAGTCCCGGACTCAGCAGCTTAAGAAACATGCCAGGTGCATGTATATGCATGCCTAAAAATCTCAATAAAGAAAAATAAAGGGACCAGCAGTTAGTGTAATGGCTATGTCACTGCACTCCCATGTAGTCGACCGCGGTTCGCGTCCTGGACCCGATGGCTTAAAACTCACACCGGGCACGTGTGCGTGCGTGCCCAAGATCCCGAAAGGAGAATGGAGGAGAAGGGATTGTGGTGTGACCATCCCCCCTAGGAGGTGATTTCTCTCTTTCTGTCTGTCTCTCTCTGTCTGTCTGGCGAGCACACACGCCCTATAGCAAAAACCTCTCCAAAAAGAAAGAAAGAAAGAAAGAAAGGAAGGAAGGAAGGAAGGAAGGAAGGAAGGAAGGAAGGAAGGAAGAAAGGAAGAAGGGGTAGCAATATGAACATTCTCCATAGGGGTTCCTTTCTCCCTTCCTCTCTCTCTCTCTCGGGTCTTCCTCTCCCCCTCTCTCTCTCTCTCTCTCTCTCTCTCTCTCTCTCTGTCTCCATCTCTCTCTGGTGAGCACACACTCCCTCTGGCAAATTTTTTGTAAAAAATGGATGTAGTCTTCAGCACTATATGAAGGATTCCAGGAAGTTAGACACAAGAGAATTTCTCAACTCTGAAAGGTTAAGAGCCCCTGCCCTTACACTCGAGGTCATTCTGATGTTTGCTTTCGGTCTTGAGTAAGTCAAAGCATCTTTTCACACATTCATTGGCCATTTGTGGTTTTTTAGTTCATATCCTTAACCTGCTTTTCTATGGAGTGCCTAACTTTTCTCTTTTTAAAGGTTTGGTTTTGTTTAGTTTCCTCTCGGGCTCGCTGTAGAAAAGACAGAGACAGTAAGAAATCACCACCCCACCACCCCTCCACTCCACCACCCCACCCCAGGGGATAACCTTGCAGCAATCCCTTCTCCTGCAGTCTCCTCTCAGGATTTTGGGCACACACACACATCCGGTATGATTTTCAAGCTGCCAGATCTGGGACTTAAACCATAGTTGGCCAAGTGAGAGTCCAGTGCCGTAACCATCATGGCACCTACTGGCCCTCACGTTTTCGCTTTTTAAAAACTACTTGTTTTCCGTGAGAGACAGAGAGATAGGCACCCCCAACAAAGTCCTTACGCCATGAGCCGCCTCCAGTCTAGTCCAGATCT